TCAGTGGAAAGGGGGACCGCTGCCCACCTAATCAATTTGGAAACAAAAATAGTATATGCCTTTTGAAAAACAACAGATGACCTGCGATGTGTGGTGTATTCACACACACATACGTATATATTTATTATACTGGGAGAGGGGAAGGGGGAGGGAGAGAAATTCCTTTCGAGTGCTATTCACCAGTCTGGAAAAATAAAGAAGGAAAGCAGAACATTTTTTCCTTTCATCAAAACAGGAAAGAGAGGGGGAATGGGGTGGGGAGCATATCCATAGACATAATGGATGGTTGCCAGTGTAAGGAAATTGTTCCCTTCTACCCTAAACTTGGGGGTTGGGGAGGGGGAGAAATAGATGGTAATATGATCAGTGAAGGCTGCATCCCCTCCTCCCCACTTGATGTAGGAACGTGTATGCACACAGGAAAGTGCTGAGAAATCAGTGCCCCCAGCTTTGCCTTCTCTCTTTGAATCCTGCTCGAGCTGCACATCCGCAGAGATGTGAAATGCCTTTGCCTTCTCCTTCACCTCAAAGCATGGGGTAGCAAGGCATGGCCGGCACAACCCCTCTCCCTCTCTGCCTTTGTCAGGGACTGTGCTCTGCCCTCTGCATGCGTCTGCGCGCTAGTCCCCCTCCCCGTCCTCTCCTCTCCTCTCCTCTCTGCCAGGTTTCTGCCAGGAATGGGTGAGATGAAGGAGGTGGTGACGGGCTGGGGGAATCCCTCTGATGGGGAGAAACAGGCAGAGGGGGGTGGTTCCCAGAGGAAGCCTGGCAGGTCCCATCGAACTCCTGCTCCCCAGGTGACACCTTCCCTTTCCCCTGGAGCCGCTGGCTCTGTCAGGGTTTTACTCATCCTTGGAAAGCATTTTCCCTGCCAGGGGAGGGAAGGAAAATTATGCAAGCCCTGGGTACCCTGAGGCTCTGCCTTTCTCCAGCACAAAATACAAACACCATGGTCCCTGCCTGTCTCTGTCTCCTTCCTTTGGTCTCTCTTCTCCTTTTCTCCTTTTTCCTTCATTAGACTGAATTCAGTCATTAGGAAGTCAGGGCAACTCCCATGTCAGCAGCCTCTGGGGCAGATGGTGTAAGCCATAGCCTAAAGCTACGTATGACGGGCTCAGCTCCATTCTGATCACTTGGCTCGGGACAAACTTTGCACAACAAGGCAATGTGGTGTAAAACTGATGCGCCTACAGAACAGGTCTCCTGGTGAAAACTAGGCGTAAAACTTACTCTAGGTGCTTCATTTCAGTGTCAGGGCTGCTCTGCTCCCCTCCATTGAGGGCTGCGGCAGCCCCGTAGCGTAGGCGTAGGGATTGCTCATCGCTCTCCTGAACTCGGAGATCGGAGCAGGAGCAACACCTAAGTTAGATACCTTGAGTGGGCGGGCTGACTACACGTCGGCTTTCAACACCTACTAATTTATTTCCATTGATTGTTTTTCAAAATAGGACTCATCATGGAGAGGCTGAGACATCTCAGCTGTTCAGATTGAGTCTTGCTTTCCATTGTAAGCCCTGTTTTTCTTCCTGTTGTTTCACAACTCTCTCCCTTCTCTAAAAAAAAATGCAATAAATAAATTAAAAAAAAAGAAAAAAGATATCGCCCCTCACATCGTACCTCTATGGATGGTAGCTAGTAGCTAATTTTTTCCACAAGATGAAGGGAGAGCAGCCTTGCAGCAAGGAACTGCCTATTGTCCTCGGACGAGTGTTGCTCTCTTCCCTAGTGATAAGAAAATAACCAAGGAGATGAGTTCAGCTGTTCATAGGTTTGAGAGCTCTAGTGGTGGTGAAAGTGTTTTAATAAGAAACCCTGCTACAGGCTCTTAAGAAATCTGTTTTTGTTGTGGTTTGTCTGTGGGGCCGTTGCCAGCTAGCACAGCTGTGACTAGACCTTGTCAAGTTGTCAAGTTGTGATGCTCTAATGGGACATTTTTATGGTCCAGCTACTTCAGGTAGCCTTGAAACATCTTCCTAATATATGCAGTGTTGGTTTCAAACTGTTTTCCTGTGACATCTGGGACACCAACAGCCCCGCAGGCCTCCACACCCCTCCCACAGGCCAGGTGAGGGGAAGATTCAGTCATCCCCATTAGTTTTAGGGGTTTGTGGGACAAATGTAAAGCTAATTTCACAGAAGTAAGAGAATCAAAGGAGCACCTGCCTGACTCAAGGTACAGCAGTTTTAAGGACATGCATCTCTATTGAATGCTATGCCAGTGAGACTGGCCCAGCCTTTAGTGAGTCTCAAGACCTCACTAGGGAAAAATCTGTCTCTGTCTTAAAAACAGCAAGAGTAAGAAAAAGAGACTGAAGCCTGAGTGGCTTGAATATCACTTTGCTCTATTTCCAGGCAGGGTCATAGGTAGATGATTAGTCAAATTCCAAACATCCTCTTCCTTGCTGTCTGGAGGATCAGCAGGGATTAGCTTTTTGTTTCTCATGTCGAGCTTCTAAAAACTGCCCAGCATCATCCACATGAAAATAAATAACTCTATTTCTATCCCAGCTAAGATGTAATGTAGCTGGTTATATTAAAAAAACAATACACCACACCACACATATTCCCCCCCAAAATCAGGCCCTGCAGCAGCTCTTGTTGCTACTGAACAAGACATACGCAGCAGTCCCTGCTAGCTTTCTGCTGAGTCCTTCTTCTCTCCGGCAGCAATATCTCTCCCTGCTGAGGAGTTTGATCAGCCCTCCCACACACAGGCTGTTCTGTCCTGGCCAGGCAGCCACTACAGCATGGGGGACCCCCTACACAGCTTGAATCAGGTGGCATGAAGGTGGTGGAGCCACACTAGATTATTTGAGGGCAGAAATCCTTAAAATGCACCTTAGCTTCCACTGAGCCTTAAACACATAATGGGGTCATGGACATTCACGACCTAGCTGCCCCCAGCTCCTTCTACCCAGATAGAAGGGCTTCCAGAAGCTGGTTTGGCCATCTCAAATCCTCAGCTTTCCCCCTGCTGAACACCAAGGAGCCCAGGGCTACAGAGTTTCTTTGGCCGGTGCCATCTGGAGTGAGGTGAGATGGACCCAGACCCTTTTAAAAACTTTTTTTGAGGCCTCCTGAAGATTTCAGAAGGAGTTTCAACACCCAGGTAGACATTAGGGTAGCAACTCCACTCTGCCTGGGGGGTTAGAGAAAATTATCATCACTTGAAATGGCTGGTACGCTTGCTGGCGGGACAGGATGGAGAATGAGGGGAATTCTAAGAGCGTTCTGAGGAATTTGGGGTGGGACAGGGCTAACGTGGCTGGAGCATCTAAGATAAAGACTTGTTAAGGTCTCCAGCAGTAGAAATGAACAAAGGTATGCCTTGCATTTCCACTTCCTCCCCCTTGAGCTCCAGAATTGAGACCAAGCCACTTTAGACTTGGTTTGAGGGACTCCCAGAACACTCCTTATCTCTGCACTCATGCACCTCAGACGGCCTGGGTGTCAGAGCTCACATGGCTCTGACCAACTCCCCACCTGTAGGGAAATCTGCCCCCTGTTCTTCTGGGTTAGGGTGAAGGGCGGTGATCCCTTGTGACTCAAGAGCACCTTGACATGCTGCCCCACCATAGGACCTTCCATTTTGTGTCTACATGACCTGTCTCTGTGATGGGAGGAGCAGAGGAACTAGGCTATTTTAAGAAAGCTAAGAGGGACTCCCAGTCCTCCTTGTGTCCCTGTGCTTTCTGACCAACACCCACATCCATGAGACCAAAGTGAAGTTCGGAGGGGTAGCTAGCTAGCCAACCTGGGAGGTGTTGTCAGATGCCTACTACAGAGGAGCTGTGGGCTGCCTGCTGCTCAGTTCTGGTAGCTGCTCCTCATACCTGGGGCACTTGGGATGGTGATATGCAAGTGCTGGTGTGAGACCATGTGTTTTAGAAAGGGTTTGGCTGCATGAGACTCACAGGCACCTAGATAGTGTAAGGGAGCATGTGTGATACTGCAAGATGAGGCCACTGGTATGCCAGTGGGTGTACGTATGTGAGAAAGGAAGAGAGAGGGGTAGAGTGAAGCAGAACACATGGATGCCCAGGGATGTGTGAATGAGACAAAATTTGCACGTAGCTGTGCATGCGAGTGGCTCGAATAGGAGCGTGTGCGTAGCATAGAAAAAGCAGGGAAGATGCTTGGGATTCAGAGTGAATGCCTGCCGAGTGCCTGCGGTGCATGACAGTGCAGGAATGTATCAGTGGATACGAGCTTGCAAAAAGATGGTGCAGAAACCCCTCCTGGTCGTGCCTGGAGTGTGCTTTGTGAGTGTGCAACCCCACGCTGGGAGATCACTTGTATGCACATGAGAGGGTGTGCGTATGGGTGTTTTTTCAACAGGATATGACTCTTTCTTGAACTCACCTGTTAGCAGCCTTCCCCTCCCCATCCCTCTCCCCCCACAGCAAATATCTGCTTGCTTAATTTCCCTTCAGATGTTTATTACATCGTGGAGATAATCATGCAGCAAAATACCTCCGGGTGCCACGAGCAACACCAGACTGTCTTATAGGAATGAGTAAATTTCTCTGGCTTCTTTTTTTTCCCCTTCACACAAAGAGATGGAAGATATTAAAGCCGCCTCTCTCCCTGGAGCTAGTGCTGTAGCAGGGCAAAGAAGGCGGTGAGGGGAGCTTAGAGAAATGGGCTCCAGACTGAAACAGTGAGAACCTGGGGCCAAAAAAAATAACAAACTACCATGCCGGGAACTCCTCTCTTCTTATCTCTTGCCGAGGAGGCAGGAATTTCTGTCCCCATTCCTCACGCAATATTAAAGCCACATTATACAGGTTACTGCAGCATTAGTCATTTTTAATTAATTTATCATTTAAATTAACACACTTTTTATTTTGTCAGCAATGGACTGCTACTCCCTCACTAGATTTTTCACTTGATACCCAGCCAAGAGGAGGGTGGCAAGTTATGCTCCACCCATCTCCTCTCCTTCATAAAAGGAGCAGCCCTGAGTGCCAGTTTAGTCTCTCTTGCAGCTCGCAGACTAAAATAAAGCCCTATCGGCTCACTCACCTCTTCTGCAATTTTGCCTTTTCTGCATTTTTTTAGTTTTCCTTTTTTGTTGCAACAGAGTGCAGGAGGCAGCATCAGCAGCTCTGCTCTGAGGCTTGTCAAGGCTCAGTGCACACACACACACACACATGCACGCACGCAACCCAGAGTGAAAACATTTGCTCTCACCTGTCTCCAAACCCAAAGCAAACCTCCTGTCCAAGCAAACTGCCAACAGTTGGAACGAGACGGCACCCGAGCCAGAATTTAACGTAAGGCGAAAAAATTCAATGTACACTAGCAACTTTTTGCTAAAAAGCAAGAGGACAAAAGGAAGGAAAGGAGCATTTTAAGAAAAGGACACCTTAAGGAAGATTTCATTTTTTGGATTTCACACCAAACTTTGGAAAAGTTTTTTTTTTTTTTTTTTTTTTTTTTTAGTTATTATTCTGTTATTACCATCTTTTTCTAAGAACATTGAGACATTGTTACCTGCATGTAAAAGCTTTTACATTTTTTTTTTTTTAAAAAAAAGGAAGAAAACCAAGAGGAAGAATAGCATGTGGACCACCTAGCCAAAGGCACCACTGAAGCATCCCTTGCAGCGAGGGGGACGTAGACTCTGGATGTGTGTAATTCCGAGGGACTGCATTTTTTTCCCACCGGGCTTATGAGATAGCGCAGAGGCAGGCAAGTCATCGAGAATTACTTCTCTCTCCCCTCACCACCACCACTACCACCACCTCCACGTCCTCTTCCAAGGGCTCCTGCGATTCTCCCACCGCAGCCCGGCTTGGAGGGACATGGGAACGCGCGGCGCCCTCGATGCCTGAGGCCGGGCGGCCGCGGGGCTGTCTGCGGGAAGCGCTTCCCTGCCGGGGCTCGCCGTCCATGTGCCCGCAGTCGGCGGGGCCTGGAGTCGGGATGAATTTCGGCGTGGTCTTCGCGTTCATCCTCTCCCTGCCCCTGGCCCGCATGGAGGTGAGTTTCCGCCGCTGGCAGCGGGCGGTGCTGCCGAGCTGCCAGCCCCGGGATGCGGGGAGAGCCGGCGGCGGCGGCCGCTCCCGCCCCGCAGGTGCGGCGGGTGAAGCCCGGGGGTGGCCGGGCGGGAGCGGAGGGCGCGGAGGGGGCGAGGGGCCCGGGCAAGCGGGCGATTCCCGGCCCCTCTCCGAGGGAGGGACTGCGGCCGGTGCGCCAATGGCGGGCAGCGACCGCTGGAGCGGGCACCCTTCTGGAGCGGGCGCTACCCTCGGGACGGGGCCGCCGGGGGCGCTTCGCCTGGGAATACATTCACCCCCGTGTCTGTAGGGACGAGGGGCATACCAGGCTGAAGCGCCCTCTGGTTAGTATGGGAGAAAGAGTGCTGCTGGGGAGCCGCGGGGACCCCGCAGCTTCCCGCCCTGCCTCGCCCAGGGCTGTCACCCCGGGGCAGGTGCCGGCTCCATCGAGCCTCTCACCCCGTCCAGCGATTTTGGCATCGCTGTAGCGTGCGTGCAGCAGGGACCGAGGCCCAGTTGGCACCCCTGGAATAACACACAGTGTTAAACCCACCCTGGCATTGCCAAGGGGCTAGTGGAGAAAGGGCGTGGGGGTTTGGAAGGGGCAAGGAAGGGGCCAGCGTGGGTAGAGGCACCAACACGGAGTGGCACGGTTGTACAGCAAGGCGTGCCTACAGCTAGGGTGATGGCAAGAGGCAGGAGGTGAGTGTCTGCTGTGCTTCCACAGTCACACAAGGATCTTGTCCTGCAATCCTGAATGCTCTGCTCAGGAGGAAGCTGGGCAGAGGGTGGGGGCCAGGTGGTGGATTTGAACGAACATTCCAGCCCTCTTCAGTTTCCCTGAAGCCTCATCCCAAGCCATGGCTGAGGAAAAGGAGCCCTAAGCCCCCAAATCCTTAGCCTCTGTCGCCATGTTTCATCATCTGATGGTGTGCAGATTGAGGGGACCAGAAAGCCCCTAACATTCCTACACAGTGCTAGGTTCCCACTTCAGCTCATGGCAAAACTGTGGGTTGGATCTGCAACTTGGTTGTCAGGGGCAGGACACATCCTTCCACCCAAACTTTCCTCCCTTTGCATAATTTCTCTCTTTTTCTTCCTCATTTTTGGGCAGGGGAGTGGGTGCACCCCTTGTGGGGTGTCAAGGAAGAGGTTGGGTGCAAAGCATCACGTCACCTCCCTATGGGCCCATTTTGCCCTTGCCCAAGCCACAAAAGGAAGCAGTTAAAGCTGTGGGCTGCCCAGTGGTTATGTTTGTTTTGGGCAGAGGATGGTATTTCCTCTGTGGATGGCTCAGATCTCTTCCTCCCATGCAGCATGAAACATCAGCTATGGTTGGTGCTGGGGAAGGGTGAAGGTGGAAGTGCCTGATCCCAGGGGGCTGTTGTTCAGTGCTGTAATCACACTGAAATACTGCACAGCTCTATGATAGACTAGTAGGGTTAAAGTTTGGGAATTCTGGCCCTAGGTTTCATAGAAGGAATTGTGATATTTTTCATTGTATGACCAGAGAACCAAGAACATTTCTGCTCGGGTAGATGCTTCTGCCTTCAGCCAGTCCCCACATCTACTTTGAGGGCAGTGTGTTGCACCCTCTGCACCAAGCACACACAGCAGAGCTCCTACCAGACTGCTGAACCATAATTGTCCTCTGAACAAAGCTTGCACTTCTTCCCAGCCCTGTCAGAGAAGTGCATGAGAAGCAGTAGCTCCTCAGATCAGCAGAGGCCTGAAGGAAGAGACGGAGCCTCCTGAGTCCCTCTCCCTCTGTGATCACACCCACCTGGAGCTGGAGGGCCCTGGAGCTCTTCCAGCCAGAGGGAGTACAAGCCTCAGCGGGAAGGTATTTGCCAGTTGGGAAGCAAGGATGCTAAGCCTATTTGCATTTGCCCTGCGGGCTATAACAGTTGCCTTGCAACATTTACAGAGATGGGCTGAGCCCATCTTGGTTGTGCTGGGGTGAAGCCCCACTGGCAGGCTTTCTGGAATTCCCAAGGAATGAGGTGCGGCTGGGCGCTTGCTTATAACCTCGGCCCAGGTCCCCATTGCATCTTCCTGCTGCCAGGCTCCAGCGTTCTTCTATAGTCTTCCTAGAATGAGGCAGTGACAAGGACAAAGCAGTGGAAGCTGGGATGGATGACATGTCTGGGGTGAGCTCATGGAAGGAGCCAGGCGAGTCGTCCCTGCCTCCCTCTCACCATCAGCTGATATGAAGCAGCAGGAGAGAATGACAGGGTTCCTGAACTGTTTGCAGTGCTGCTGGTACACAACCAGCCCTGGGGGTGGAAATGCCTCCAGCCCTTGCAGGGGACATGTGGGGGGAGCGTGGAGGAGCAGCGGAGTCCCCCTTGAAATGGGAAAAGGGTGGGTAGGTCTGACTGTATTTTAGGAACGTGGGCTAGATCAAACATTGTTTGATTATTTTAAGGAGGGAAAACATAACCTTCCATCCCACGTGGAAGGGGCTGATGTGATGAGGGTTGTGCCTGCTGTGGGGTCCTCTGGCAGGCAGATGTTGGAGTCCCCTTGTAGCTCAGAATGAAGCTGGAAGGGTGGATGACCTGTGCCAGGGGAGGGCTGGTGGCAGGTGCTGCTGGTCTTGCTCTCTGCTAGGGAATGCCGTGGAGTCTCCCCTCAGGGTCCTCACGTCAGCTTCAGAGGGAATTAAAAAATGCTGTTTGTTTGGGGTTTTTTGCCTAGCTGATCATTCAAGACTCTGCTGCCAAGATTCCTTGCCATGGTCAGTGTGGAGGTGCTCAGAAAGTTCTCCTCTCCAGGGCAGAGGAGCGGATAGCTGGGTGCTTCCCTGCCATTCCCAGACTGGTACTGCTGCTACCCTTCTGTCCTTCTGTGTGCAGTCACACATGGGTGTGTGTACACACACTAGCACAGAAAAGGGAACTGGAGGAGTCCTCACCTTGGGAGTATCCTTGCCTTGTTTCTTTGAGCTCTGAGGGTCTGCCTTCCCTGCTGGTTGCACAATCTTTGCTCCCTCCTCCTCCGTACCTGCTGTGCTACCAAGAGACTCACTTTCAGGCAAGGCTCTGAAACCCTTGCCCAAGGGAGGACTGGAGCGCAGTCCTGCATATTTCCTGCACCACCTTGGCAGCAGGTGATGGCAAGGGGACCTTTCAAACATCCCTGGTTCTCAAAAGCATATGTTGGCAGAAAACTCCAGAGGCAAGAGGTGGTGGGGTTAGGGAGGAGGCAGGTTTTGGGGGAGTGCATGTGTGGGGAGAAGGGACAGGGGAATGTCTTGTTTGCAGGGTGTTGCTGCATCTATGTCGGTTTGCAGTGGCCAAACAGTGCTGCTGGATGTCTGGAAGGAGAGAGGCAAAGCTGATGTGCCAAGAGACCCCAGCATCACAGCCACAGCACAGGGCAGCTGCAGGGCAGGCAGAGCCCCTGCCCAGGTGCTCTGCTGGCTTCTGTCAGGTGTGCTGTGGTGCTTGCCCTTCAAGCACCAGCACCCAGCTCAAGAAGGGGAGTGGACGTCCCTGCCGAGGGATTGGTAGATTGGGGGGTGCCCCTGCAGCTCAGGGAAGAGTCAGGAACTGGGGGGCAGAGGGAGGGAGGGAAGAACAAACTTACTTTCTTCTAAGAGTTCAGGGCCTCGCAGGAGTATGAGGCCAGGCCTTGGGGCACTTGACAGCCAGCCAAGAGTCCATTGAGACAAAAGTCTTCTTTGATCTGCCGCACAGTTAAAAAGGGAGACTGTTAACCTGTGTTAGACAAATAACTCCAGAGGAGCTGCTAAGCAGGAAAAGCACCAGCTGCTTGGGCTAGTCTGTTGGGGATCCCACCTCTTGCTATGTTCCTTCATCTTCTGACCCCATGAGATCAGGTGGACATGGCTGATGGACTTCTGCTTCCCTGTGTCCCATCCCCACAAGTGCCCCAAGCCTGGGTGTGTGCGGTGCCCCGATCTCAGAGCCTCTCAGGCACAGGGCTGGGAACCAGAGGCATGGCTGTTCCCAGTGACAGACCCCAAAGGGAGCAAGGACAAGGCATGGCAGCTCAGGTTGTGTAGCTGTTCTTAGGCCAGATTTGGACTTGGTTTTGTACTACAGGGATAAAGGAAGGAGCTTCACAGGCTTGCAGTTGTCACTAGCAGAGTTGCTTTACAAAAATGGGGGAGGAGGACAGGATTATGAGCCATGTGGGCTGGTGTTACACCATAGCCATGCTGGTAGTATCTGCATCAAGAAAAAATTGGCATCTAAAACTGCTGCTGTGAGCAGGGAGTAGAGCTTATTCCTACAGGCAGTCCCCAGAAATCCTGAGGGCCTGCATTTGCAATCCCTGATTCATATCTGTTTCCCCTGCTCAGATAACAAGGTGACACCTCCCAGCTCGCTTCCAAAGTCCCCGAGTCTTGTAACACCTGCCCACGCTCTCCCCCAGTGAGTGCCAGAGTTTAAAATAAAGTTCCATTTCCTACACGTATTAAGTGTCAGGAAGGACCAGGGGCATCCGTGCAGAGCAGCATTCGTACACAAATGCATTTAGCTGACAGGTGCAAACATTAAAAGCCTGCAATTTCACTACCCAGCGCTGAGCTCTGACTGCAAGTACTGGGAATTGCAAATGATCCCTTTTCCAGTAAATGTGTGTGGCACAAGGCAGGGAAGTGCTGCAGGACCTCTCCGGCACTGGGCTGTTGGTCCCCCTCTCCCTCACGCAGCAGGAGTTGTCAGAAGGCATCTTCATTTCACAGCTATTCAGTGATCCCTGAATTATACAAGTCTCTCTCTTACTGTGCATTCATCACTGATGCTGCTTCCCTCTCCCTCAGAGACTGAAGAAGTAATGCCTGGGGATGTAAAATCTGCTTTTTGCTCCAGGCGGACAGCCAGATCTGTGGTGAGATGTGACAGTGACAGGAATGGACCGGGGCAGGAAGGCTCGATCTGACTCAAGCTCTCTGGGGGATCTGGCTGCAGAGGTTTAGGACACTAGTGTTGTCTGCTCTGCAGCTCTCCCATGAGGTTTCTGCCCCATGACTTGGGCTGCAGCAGCCTTCACGCCACTGTGTCCTAGTTTAAGCTATAGTATTAGAGGGTGGTCTGGCAGGGCTGAGGAGGGACCACTCCTGTTGCCCTGCTATAGAAGTGAACAGCGGGTGTCCAAGGGACAGGCACATGTGAGAGAGTGCCAGGCTCAGTCAGCCATGCAAAAGTCCTCAAGCTTTAAAGCCAACGTTTAGCCACCTGCCTGGTGGTTTTTCTCAACTCCGATCGGAAGGGAAGTGTTCTGCACTGAACACAGGCAGGGAGAGAATGGCTGCACGCTAGAGGACCACACACATGCCACCATAAAAACCCACAAGAAAATCTCTGTGTTTCACAAGCACACGAGCCAAGTTCTCCTCTCAGTTACAGGGGCATATGTAGGGCTGTGGCTCAGATACCATCCAGCACCCAGCTGAAAGAGCAGCTTTTCCGCTTGAGTAGCCCTGAATGAAGAGAGCTGGGAGCAAAGCAAACACTTTGGCCAGTACTTTCCTCCATCTCTTTTTCTAGTCTTTCGGAAGTATGTTTTAATCAGCACTTGCTTTCCCACACCGCTCCTTTGTAGTCTTATTAAGTGCTGTCACTGGGGCCCACTCAGAGTAAAATTCCCAAGATGCTGATGGCATTGCACCTGCCTGCACAAACTCTGAATTTGGCCCATTGTCTGATGTTGCTAAACCTGCTAATTTAGGGTTTTTTGGTGCTGGTATGCAGGGACATCCAAACTCCTATATGTTTTTTGCTCCAAATCAGTTCCTCAGCCCACCACTTCCCTGTAGTCTTTGTGGTTTCACTGCGAGCTCATACCAGAGCAGCCTCAGCTGTGAAGGTCAGTCTTCCTCTCCACCCCTCACCTTTTTTTTCTTTAAAAAAGAGTATGCAAATGATGTATATTATTGGGCCTCTGTGGTTTGAAAACACGCGCACGCACACGCACATACACACGATAACTGACAAAGCCCGTGAGGGAGTTTCATAACAGAGGGAAATATTGGGAAGGTTTTATCTGATAGCATAAGGGAAGTCTGTTAAAACGCCTTTACTGCAGGCAGCAGGAATGAGAAGCCACCTGGAGAACTCATACAGCACCGGAGAAGGAAGCCTTGTTGGCTGCTTGCATAGTGTTCAGGGCTCTGGTGCACAGCCTGGGTATTTTTTGGCTTTTTCAGTCTCCAGACAGCTTTGTGAGAGACAGCAAGAGGGACTCTCTTGCTTTTGCTTAGGTTTCAGGCTTGTGCCTTCATGAGGCATAAAGCCCTCAAGGTTTAAAAGCCAACGCAAGACAATGCATGTCTTTGCATTTTGCTGGTTCTCTTGTGTCTCCTCCGTGCTTGATTCCCCCCATCCCACTCCATGACACAGTCAGTATTTGCAGATCACCTCTCTAATGCTTGTTTCTCCCTTTCTTTTCTTTTTTTTTTCATCTGTCAGGGGGACCCTATACCCGAAGACATTTATGAGATTTTGGGTGGCGGCTCAGTGCGTTCCATCAGTGACCTCCAGCGTGCCCTGCGGATAGACTCCGTAGGTAAATCTCTTCACCAAACACTCCTCTATTTTTTCTTAAGTCTTTGGAGGGTTGGGCAGGGATATTCCATTTTCCAGCAGGTACACTATCAACAGACCTCACTGTAAATATAGGAACCATTTAGGAGCCAAGACCTGGCTATTTACACACCTAGTCCCCTTGAAACTTGTGGGAGTTAAAGGCAACTAGATGCCTTTCTAGATCTCCTAATAACTGGTCTAACAAGGGTCACTGGCTTACAAAAATAATAGGAGATGGGCAAGGTGAGTCCAAGAAACTGAGGTCAGCACTTTTCACCCAGGCAGGAGGGCTTAAACTGAACAAGGATCAGTTTAGGAGGTGGCAAAATGGGAGGTGGGAATAGGGTGACAGAGGAGGGAAGGGCTGAGTGGGTTTTCAGGTTTAGCATCCACAAAACTCCATGGGCTTCCACAGGCTCTTAGGATAAGGGCTGCAGAGCACGTGTCCAGGGTTGAGATGCAGGACAGGGGCTAAGTCAGGGTACCGTCTCTTCACCTTCTGCCCGTAGATAAGAGCTCCGGGGGCTGCAGTGCCTTAGGGTCACTTGGCCAGGGCTGAGTGCAGTGAGCAGCAGGAGCAGCGAAGTGTGGAGGGGTTGGCACGTGTGGGAACTGGAGCACGCGCCACGGCGGCTGGGCTGGCCCAGGAATTTATTTATAAACGGTCTCTTCAGAGCAAATTCCTTTCTATTCTAACCCTGCTCCCGCCCGTCGTCCCCCAGCCCCCCCAGCTCGCCTTCTCTCTCGTGTTTTGTCTGTTTGGAGCTTTGTAATCCTTGCCGAGACACTATCTACGGGGGAACAGAATTTCCTGCTTTTGTTTCCTATGCCAGTCCAACCACTGGCGCAGTCTCAAAAGCATTCCCGCTGCCTTTCAAAACGGCCCTGGAGGGGCAGGGGGGGAAAGCGAGGGGGAGGGCACCAGCTGTGTTCAGCTATTGTTTGTCTTAGAAAGAGGCGACGAGGCTCCCCACCACTGCCAGGGCCACTCCCTGCCCTCACCAGTTCCCTCCTCCTTGTCCACGAGCCACACAATGGGGCAACTTCCAAAATTAGCTGTGCTGGATTGTCCCAGGCTGGTCCCCCCCACCCCAACTGTCTTCAGTGCTGACCTGGGGTGTAGAAGGACAACCTGGAGGAGGGAGGGACATGGTTTTCAATAGGAGATTCCTTTCCAGTCAACAGTTGTTGCTATTTTCCCCCTCCATTTCCGTCCTCTCATCAACTCAACCTGTGGTCAAAGGGCAGCCCACCCCCCCATTTGATAAAGTGCCAGGTGGCACAGGATGGACAGGTGGGGAAGGAGTGGCTGAGAAGATGTGTGCGGTCTGTCATGGCCTGGTGTCTAAGGAACAGATACATCTCTATCACAGTGACTAACCACTCTCAGGGCTAAGAAATAAAATGGGCTTCTCTCATTGTCTTGAGATGCCCAGAGGTATGGGAGAAGTCTGTGGAGCTTTGAGTCACTGGTTTCACTTCAGGTCTCAGATGGGAAAGGCTGGTGAGGGAAACAGAAAGTGGTGCTGTGAAGCAGTTTCTTTGTTGCACCCCGTGGCTCTCATCTGCTCCTAGACACTGACCGAGGGGCATTGACATTTGCTTGCCCTGTGTGGAATTAGAGTATTTGCTAATTAGTATGTTAGCAAAATAATACCAAAGTGTCTGGAGCTATTCCCCGTGCTGTCCGTGCACCCTGTATGTGCCACAGCTGCTTCTCTCTACCAGCTGCACAAGGAGCCGGAATGAGGCGGGAGGCAAATGAGCTGAGATAGTGCTCTCCTGACCTGAGACACTACTGTAGACCCAACAACAGAGATGTGTAGAGTGGGAGTCATCTCCCTTAAATGTGGCTGCCTGCAAAACAGGTGTGTCATCTAAGCCAGTCATCCAGGCATCTTCTCCAGTCCCAAAAGAACTACAGGCCCTTCTTCAGCATGATCAACCAGTTCTCCTTTTGGGCATCTGCCTCAGGGAGAGACAAATGGCACCTAGAATTGATCACACCTCTCCAGCTGCTTTAAAGGATGTCTGTCTGTCTCTCTACCTCGTGTGTAGATGTTGACTGCTCAGGCATGTACGATTCCTGCCTCTGTGCACCTATCCCAAATCCTTCAGTAGCTGCTTTAGAGCTGAGCAGAGAGCAAAGTCTCTGCTCCCCCTTATAAGAGGGCTGCACTAGGGTAGAGCTGAGGAAGAGGAATGGGACATGATGGGTAAGGGAAGTCCGCTCCACCACGCATCTGATAAACAGAGATCTTCCACTGGCCCCAAATTCCCTTTAAGAAAATTGCTCCCTTGATGCTGACGTCCATTCAGTTTCCTTCAGCTGCTAAAGCAGGTCAGAGAAGGAAAGAGCTGTGGCTGGGTGGGAGCTATCTTCGAGTGCAGCCATTGTCCAGAGCTCAGGAGTGGCTGCATGTTGGAGTGCTCCATGGGGATTATGGGCATTTCTCTATTCAGCACTTCCTATGGGAAAAGGCAGTGGGGTGGGAGGGAACCGCTCAGGGCTGGCCTGAATGCTATCAGTCTTCCTCTCCCATCGCTGACTGAACCACCTCCAGATCCTGCCACTTACCTAAGAGTAGTATAGAGGAAAAGTAATTTTAACTCTATTTTTCTGTTATTCTGTCATAAAACTGCTCTAACCTAGAGCAGCTGAGGTGTGGTGGGAGGGAGAATGTAAGCACCCCACCTCCCACACATCACCTCCTTCACCTGCCCTCTCACCTCCCAGCTCTCTCAGTCCCAAGCCACCCCAGCAAGGCACCTCAATGTTATATACCAAATGTTCTGCTGGTCTCATTTGGTCTTTGATCCTCCTTGCTGTATCTTGGTCTCAGCTGGCTGATCTGAATCCCTCTGCTACTCCTCTCTGATATCAAAAAGCCCTGGCATGGGCCTTATCATTCTTGAGCTGGAGTTTTCCTCCTCCTGACCTGAGTGGGACACCTCTTTCATGATAGGCTTGTTCCTTTGAGCTGCGCAGTCTGAGCCAAGGGCAAACCTAGAGTGTGCTCCAGCACAGCTGTGACCTTGCTGGTGGGTTTACACCTAGTGTGATATTTTGGGGCTGTGGCTTATGCCATGTCCCTGCACTTTGCCTAATGATCTGAGCACAAGTGCCTGCTGTCTTCTCCTGCGTGCACCTGGTACTATAAGGTCACGTCTTTCCCTTTGCAGAGGAGGATAGCTCGAGCCTGACCCTGAATGCAACTCAGCCTGGTGAAAACCCTGTGGCCCTGTCTCGAGAGCGACGAAGCCTAGGTGAGTCAGGGGTCTTGCACCTTGTGATTGTTGGGGCACTTACCTTAGCAGCCATGGGTGGGTGCTGATGTGTGTCTGAGATATAGGGGTAGAGGTTGTAGTGAGCGTGTATGTGTACACAGATGAGAATGAGGATCTGGGCCTTGAGTAGGAGCTGGGTGTTACACCCTGGGAGGGCAGGAGAGGGAGTCTGGAGCTCTGCAAGCTGCTCTGCTTTAAATCCTGCCAGTACTGATTGACTCTAAAGAAGTGTCATGTCCTGCCTAGGACTGTGCTGCTGCAGTGAGAATTATTCTACTGGGGCCTCCTCCACCGGGCATGGCTCTGTACAGGGAGGGAGCTGGAGGGGTGGGAGAAGGAGAAAGAACATGTGTGTGTGTGAGAGCCATGCGGGGTCTTTCTCTTCCAGTAGAGGTGGCTGCAGTGGGATGGTAACAGCTGCAAAGCCCATTTCATCCCCCATTCTTCTCTTGGCCCTCCACAGATGCTCTGGCAGCAGCAGAGACAGCTGTCCTTGCGGAGTGCAAGACGCGGGAGGTGGTCTTTGAAATCTCCCGCAACATGGTGGACAGCACCAACGCCAACTTTGTGGTGTGGCCACCCTGTGTGGAGGTGCAGCGCTGCTCCGGGTGCTGCAACAACCGCAATGTGCAGTGTCGCCCCACACAGATCCGTGTCCGGCACGTCCAGGTAAGGGAGATGCCTCCCACTGCTCCCTCCTCCTGCCGCCCACTGCCACCCCAATGCCCCAAAACCAAGCCCACAGCGGGTCTCAGATGCAAGGCTCACACAGCTGCCTGCCTTGCACCCCCTCTGTTGTCACAACCTCTGCATTGGCCACGCAGTGCTGCAGACACTGGCATGGGTCACGTCCATGCCAGCTGCTGGGAGGGCTGGTGCTGTCCAGCAGCTGGGGACTGTCACCATGCAGAGCTACAGGCCACCATCCCCAGCTGCAGCTCCATGCCATGGGCCTTTCTGTGGCTCAAGGCAGCTTTGTCTGCTGCATTAGAGCAGAAGAAATGGGGCGCTTTCCTCACAGGAACTGTTTTTGATGGAAAGAGAGGAGGGCTTGCAGTGTCAGTCTCCTTGCCCCCACTGCTGCTGCAGCTTCTTTCCGAGATGCACTGAAGCAGTTTCTCCCTCTCAGCCAACAGTTACCTCCTGACCTGCTACAGCAGCCAGCAGACACCTGATAGCTAACCTCTTGCTCTGATCCTCCCCTCGCAGCTACCAGTGATCTCCTCACAGCTTCCTCCCAGACAGCTTGTTTAAAAATAATGTTCATCCCATACTAATCCTCTGCCTGAGCTGTAAGAGACTCCCCCGGGCAGGCAACAGAGGTTGGCTGGGAGAGATTGTATTCACACAGCCTTTTTCATCAGGAAATTCCTTTCTCAAAAAAGCCAGGCTGAATGAGGGGAAAAATAGGGGGGAGCAGGAGTTGTTTTTCTGGAAAAAAACAAGCGAGAGGTCAAAAGCCAGCCTGAAAAAGTGACCTGGAAATGGTTTCTTTGAGGACAGAGGTCTCTCTATTGTTTGACTGGAAGTGTTTGTCTAGTGAGCAGCGTGTGGTCTGAAGTGTGTGGAGTGGGCTTTCAAGGAAAGATAAACAGCCTGGCTGCTTCAGCACTGGCTGAGGGATGCTGCTGGGGGCAGTGGGTTTAGAGGAATTCCATCCCAGACACACAGCACAGTATTTATAGCTTGCAGAGCACTTCAGGGACTGCAGTCTTGTTAGATAAGCTGAGTGGGGTCAGGCCCGGCCGCTGCTGGAGTGGGAGGACCCCCTAGAAGGCTTGTGCCCTGTGGTGGGATGTGGAGCAATGTGTCTTCCTTCTGAGTCAGCACTGGTGGAGAGTCCGAGGGAATTTCCAGAGCACCGCCTTTCCCATAAAACACAGAGCTGAGGGCTTCAGCCCTGCGAGTTATTAAAGAGCTTGAGACAAATTCAGACAGGCCTCAGCAGAGCTGGTGAAGCTATGTTAGCTTGCATTGGGCCTGAGTTTTTCTCCTTTTGCCCTTCCTGTAATTCGCTGTGGCAATTAGTTCTGGTTGCCCCCAGGTCTCCACCATCACATCTGTCAGAAACAGGCTAGCCAGTTCTGCATGCTCCATGTTTCTGTCTGTGATCAGCCAGTCATCCTGCTTAAGCAGCAGCAACAGTTAGGAACAGGGAAACCAACCAGAGACATCCAAACTTGTCTAGTCTAGGTCTGCTCTGCTGGTACGTTCAGAATTATTTGCCATACACACCACCCCCAAATTTGAACCATGCTTCCTGTGCTGCCTTCTGACCCTTTAGGAAGAAAGGCAGTATTGAAGAGCGCTGACAGTGATTATTTTTACAGAGTGGGCGCTGCAGCTGTATTAATCTTTTGCTTCCTTCTCTCTTCCAAACAGGTAAACAAGATCGAATTTGTCCAGAGGAAGCCAAAATTCAAAAAAGTTGTTGTGCCTTTGGAGGACCATGTACAGTGTCGGTGTGAGGCCGTGTTCCGACCGCCTCCCAGGAACATCCGTCCAGGGCCACGTGAACAGAGACGTAAGGATCTTGACATTAGTAGAATGGAGGGAGGCATGAGAAGAGAGGCTGAGGAGAGAGGGAAGAGCCCTTCACTGGTTTCAATCTATTTAGCTCCAGTGAATCCCACGGGCCTTCACTGGTTTATACCAGCCAAGGGACCTTTCCCAGGATGTCTGCCTGACTGCAAGGGGCTGAAAATGAGGGAAATGAAGGAGGGGAAGGTGAGAGGTGAGGGGAAGGGCATGGTGGGAAAAGGGAGAGGGTAGAGACTGTGGAGAACAGAGGACAAGGGACAGAAGAACAGAGAGAAGCCTTGTGGCCCTCCTGTTGCAGAGATATTTGTTGACAGTGTGTGGAGAAAGATATTTCAACATGAGCCGGCTGCCCCTCGCCGTACAGACACTCTCCCCTCTGTTTTGGCAGGCTTGTCACCATCGTTCACCACAGCCGCTGTCTCTCAGAGGCAGCGAGTACGCCGGCCGCCGGCACAGAAGAGGAAACATAAGAAGTACAAGCATGTCAACGATAAGAAAGTGCTGAAAGAAATCCTCATAGCATAGAAGTGCTGGCAGGGGAGAGAGAGCACAAGGCAGGTAACAGCAAACTACTCTTCCAGTTAGGAGAGATGTCCTCCCGGGACATGGCATCTTGGACCCTTCCCACAGCACTGGCCGCTTATTCAGCTTGGGGCTACTGCAGGATCAAACCTGGGTCTAAGGAGGGGGAAGGACTAGGTTGGATGCCAACATGTGCATCCTATTTATGCCTTTAAGTTGGAAGGATCAGGCCATCCTTGCTCCAGCCATCCTTGCTCTTGGGCCCTGCCCTCTCCTTCCCTGCCTCCCTTACAGGCAGAAAACAAGCCTGACTTCTCTCTATACCTAAATCCCCTCGGGATCCATGTAATTCATCTCTTCTGTGGAGCAACTCCCATCCTCCTTTGCCTATTGATTCTCCGTTGAAAGCAGAGAATTAATGTTGCTCTGGGGATCCCTTTTCCTTTTATTTCATTAGTCAAGTTAGCAGAAAGACTGAAAAGGAGCAACACTTTCAGTTCATCGTTCTCCTAGCGGGAAACCTATGTGCATAAGAAAGGTCATACCAGGGAAAAGGAGAACTGGAATCTCTGGCAAGAGATCTGGACTTCATCAGGCCAGGGTCTGATTCTTCTCTCCATGACTTGTGTAAACAGGAGTAATTCCCTCATCATCAGAAGAATTTCACTGGTACAAGGGAAAGGAGAATAAGCCCTGGTTCCCCATGAGAGAGAAAGGTACAAAAAAGAGAGAAAGAATAGTCAGGGCACAGATCAGGAGGAGCTGAATTTAGAGAGAGGTGACACAGCTTAACAGAGAGAGCCCTGGCCCATGGCTCAGTGGTTCCAGCTCTGCTGCAGCCCCTTGAATGAGCCCAGGCCACTCACTTCACATTCACTTCCCCTTACCTTGGGAGAGGAAATGGCAGGCTTCCATCTGTGGCATTTCAGGAGCTGGGGGCAAGGGGCACCTGGCAGTGCCTTGGTATTGGGATTCCCATGCTTAGTACTATGAGGGCTCGAATTATCCCAGGATTCTGCTGGCCAGCCTGAAGTTCCCAGGGTGGAAAATGATGCAAACCCATGCAAATCTCAGCTCTGGCTCAAGCTGTTCAGGGTAAAAAATAGAGAAGGTCAAAAGTCCTTCCAGCCTTCTAATCTGGCATTTTGACACAAACATTTCCAGAGGAGAAAAGGGAATAGAAGGGTAGTTGCAGGGGGAAAGGGTTACATATTCTAATGCTGTGTTTGGTTTTGTTTCACTTCCAGGTTTATTTAATATATTTGCTGTATTGCCCCCATGGGGTCATTGGAGTGACAACTTTTCCTCTTTGTCCATCTGCCTCGACGTCTGATTCAGACGGCAATTGGTGCTTCCCTTTCCATCAGTGGACCTTCTCCCACCAAAGCCTCCTTTCTTTCATTTATTAGCATAATTTTAAAGTTTTACACACACACACACAAAAGGACAAAGATGACCTTTATATATATATATATATATGAGAAAAGAACAGAGTACAAATAAAACCATGAACGCCAACAGCCACTTGTGACAAGGACAGGACAATGCCTTCCCTGCTACAGAGGACAGGATGGAAAATGTGAAAAGTGGGTCCAATTTCTTTTAAGGAAAGGAGAAGACCACATGGACAGAGGCCAGAAGGGGAATATTCTCCCTTTTCCTCATGCTTCTGGTAAGGCTGGGGGGCCTGGCTGAGATCTACACTTGCACTGGACCTATATTTTGGAAACAGGCGTGTCTCAGATTGCAAGCAGCGACCAATGATGGAAAATGCACTAAGGACTTTTATCAGCCTACCTGGACAGATATATATTTTTAATGTGCGTGTGTATATTTTATTTTAAAAAAGAAAAACCAAAACCATTAAGATATACAACATCTCTGGGAACAGAACAAACAAGCGAAGAAACAAAACAAAAACAAAACAAAGAAGCCAAATGCATTCCCCCCCTCCCTTCCCCCTCCTGCTCCTGGTGCTGACTGGAAGGTGTTTGGATGGTGGGGAAGGAGCACACGGTGGCAGAATCGTCTCCACGCCCCTGGCCCCTGCCAAGAGGAGCCATCTTTGCACATGCTTGTGGAGAATTCAACTTTCCAGGCTCGGACTCAAATTATTTTTTAAATTTGCTCTGTATGTGTGCGCGTGTATATGTGTGTGTGTGTGTGTGTNCGACGAAGCCTAGGTGAGTCAGGGGTCTTGCACCTTGTGATTGTTGGGGCACTTACCTTAGCAGCCATGGGTGGGTGCTGATGTGTGTCTGAGATGTAGGGGTAGAGGTTGTAGTGAGCGTGTATGTGTACACAGATGAGAATGAGGATCTGGGCCTTGAGTAGGAGCTGGGTGTTACACCCTGGGAGGGCAGGAGAGGGAGTCTGGAGCTCTGCAAGCTGCTCTGCTTTAAATCCTGCCAGTACTGATTGACTCTAAAGAAGTGTCATGTCCTGCCTAGGACTGTGCTGCTGCAGTGAGAATTATTCTACTGGGGCCTCCTCCACCGGGCATGGCTCTGTACAGGGAGGGAGCTGGAGGGGTGGGAGAAGGAGAAAGAACATGTGTGTGTGTGAGAGCCATGCGGGGTCTTTCTCTTCCAGTAGAGGTGGCTGCAGTGGGATGGTAACAGCTGCAAAGCCCATTTCATCCCCCATTCTTCTCTTGGCCCTCCACAGATGCTCTGGCAGCAGCAGAGACAGCTGTCCTTGCGGAGTGCAAGACGCGGGAGGTGGTCTTTGAAATCTCCCGCAACATGGTGGACAGCACCAACGCCAACTTTGTGGTGTGGCCACCCTGTGTGGAGGTGCAGCGCTGCTCCGGGTGCTGCAACAACCGCAATGTGCAGTGTCGCCCCACACAGATCCGTGTCCGGCACGTCCAGGTAAGGGAGATGCCTCCCACTGCTCCCTCCTCCTGCCGCCCACTGCCACCCCAATGCCCCAAAACCAAGCCCACAGCGGGTCTCAGATGCAAGGCTCACACAGCTGCCTGCCTTGCACCCCCTCTGTTGTCACAACCTCTGCATTGGCCACGCAGTGCTGCAGACACTGGCATGGGTCACGTCCATGCCAGCTGCTGGGAGGGCTGGTGCTGTCCAGCAGCTGGGGACTGTCACCATGCAGAGCTACAGGCCACCATCCCCAGCTGCAGCTCCATGCCATGGGCCTTTCTGTGGCTCAAGGCAGCTTTGTCTGCTGCATTAGAGCAGAAGAAATGGGGCGCTTTCCTCACAGGAACTGTTTTTGATGGAAAGAGAGGAGGGCTTGCAGTGTCAGTCTCCTTGCCCCCACTGCTGCTGCAGCTTCTTTCCGAGATGCACTGAAGCAGTTTCTCCCTCTCAGCCAACAGTTACCTCCTGACCTGCTACAGCAGCCAGCAGACACCTGATAGCTAACCTCTTGCTCTGATCCTCCCCTCGCAGCTACCAGTGATCTCCTCACAGCTTCCTCCCAGACAGCTTGTTTAAAAATAATGTTCATCCCATACTAATCCTCTGCCTGAGCTGTAAGAGACTCCCCCGGGCAGGCAACAGAGGTTGGCTGGGAGAGATTGTATTCACACAGCCTTTTTCATCAGGAAATTCCTTTCTCAAAAAAGCCAGGCTGAATGAGGGGAAAAATAGGGGGGAGCAGGAGTTGTTTTTCTGGAAAAAAACAAGCGAGAGGTCAAAAGCCAGCCTGAAAAAGTGACCTGGAAATGGTTTCTTTGAGGACAGAGGTCTCTCTATTGTTTGACTGGAAGTGTTTGTCTAGTGAGCAGCGTGTGGTCTGAAGTGTGTGGAGTGGGCTTTCAAGGAAAGATAAACAGCCTGGCTGCTTCAGCACTGGCTGAGGGATGCTGCTGGGGGCAGTGGGTTTAGAGGAATTCCATCCCAGACACACAGCACAGTATTTATAGCTTGCAGAGCACTTCAGGGACTGCAGTCTTGTTAGATAAGCTGAGTGGGGTCAGGCCCGGCCGCTGCTGGAGTGGGAGGACCCCCTAGAAGGCTTGTGCCCTGTGGTGGGATGTGGAGCAATGTGTCTTCCTTCTGAGTCAGCACTGGTGGAGAGTCCGAGGGAATTTCCAGAGCACCGCCTTTCCCATAAAACACAGAGCTGAGGGCTTCAGCCCTGCGAGTTATTAAAGAGCTTGAGACAAATTCAGACAGGCCTCAGCAGAGCTGGTGAAGCTATGTTAGCTTGCATTGGGCCTGAGTTTTTCTCCTTTTGCCCTTCCTGTAATTCGCTGTGGCAATTAGTTCTGGTTGCCCCCAGGTCTCCACCATCACATCTGTCAGAAACAGGCTAGCCAGTTCTGCATGCTCCATGTTTCTGTCTGTGATCAGCCAGTCATCCTGCTTAAGCAGCAGCAACAGTTAGGAACAGGGAAACCAACCAGAGACATCCAAACTTGTCTAGTCTAGGTCTGCTCTGCTGGTACGTTCAGAATTATTTGCCATACACACCACCCCCAAATTTGAACCATGCTTCCTGTGCTGCCTTCTGACCCTTTAGGAAGAAAGGCAGTACTGAAGAGCGCTGACAGTGATTATTTTTACAGAGTGGGCGCTGCAGCTGTATTAATCTTTTGCTTCCTTCTCTCTTCCAAACAGGTAAACAAGATCGAATTTGTCCAGAGGAAGCCAAAATTCAAAAAAGTTGTTGTGCCTTTGGAGGACCATGTACAGTGTCGGTGTGAGGCCGTGTTCCGACCGCCTCCCAGGAACATCCGTCCAGGGCCACGTGAACAGAGACGTAAGGATCTTGACATTAGTAGAATGGAGGGAGGCATGAGAAGAGAGGCTGAGGAGAGAGGGAAGAGCCCTTCACTGGTTTCAATCTATTTAGCTCCAGTGAATCCCACGGGCCTTCACTGGTTTATACCAGCCAAGGGACCTTTCCCAGGATGTCTGCCTGACTGCAAGGGGCTGAAAATGAGGGAAATGAAGGAGGGGAAGGTGAGAGGTGAGGGGAAGGGCATGGTGGGAAAAGGGAGAGGGTAGAGACTGTGGAGAACAGAGGACAAGGGACAGAAGAACAGAGAGAAGCCTTGTGGCCCTCCTGTTGCAGAGATATTTGTTGACAGTGTGTGGAGAAAGATATTTCAACATGAGCCGGCTGCCCCTCGCCGTACAGACACTCTCCCCTCTGTTTTGGCAGGCTTGTCACCATCGTTCACCACAGCCGCTGTCTCTCAGAGGCAGCGAGTACGCCGGCCGCCGGCACAGAAGAGGAAACATAAGAAGTACAAGCATGTCAACGATAAGAAAGTGCTGAAAGAAATCCTCATAGCATAGAAGTGCTGGCAGGGGAGAGAGAGCACAAGGCAGGTAACAGCAAACTACTCTTCCAGTTAGGAGAGATGTCCTCCCGGGACATGGCATCTTGGACCCTTCCCACAGCACTGGCCGCTTATTCAGCTTGGGGCTACTGCAGGATCAAACCTGGGTCTAAGGAGGGGGAAGGACTAGGTTGGATGCCAACATGTGCATCCTATTTATGCCTTTAAGTTGGAAGGATCAGGCCATCCTTGCTCCAGCCATCCTTGCTCTTGGGCCCTGCCCTCTCCTTCCCTGCCTCCCTTACAGGCAGAAAACAAGCCTGACTTCTCTCTATACCTAAATCCCCTCGGGATCCATGTAATTCATCTCTTCTGTGGAGCAACTCCCATCCTCCTTTGCCTATTGATTCTCCGTTGAAAGCAGAGAATTAATGTTGCTCTGGGGATCCCTTTTCCTTTTATTTCATTAGTCAAGTTAGCAGAAAGACTGAAAAGGAGCAACACTTTCAGTTCATCGTTCTCCTAGCGGGAAACCTATGTGCATAAGAAAGGTCATACCAGGGAAAAGGAGAACTGGAATCTCTGGCAAGAGATCTGGACTTCATCAGGCCAGGGTCTGATTCTTCTCTCCATGACTTGTGTAAACAGGAGTAATTCCCTCATCATCAGAAGAATTTCACTGGTACAAGGGAAAGGAGAATAAGCCCTGGTTCCCCATGAGAGAGAAAGGTACAAAAAAGAGAGAAAGAATAGTCAGGGCACAGATCAGGAGGAGCTGAATTTAGAGAGAGGTGACACAGCTTAACAGAGAGAGCCCTGGCCCATGGCTCAGTGGTTCCAGCTCTGCTGCAGCCCCTTGAATGAGCCCAGGCCACTCACTTCACATTCACTTCCCCTTACCTTGGGAGAGGAAATGGCAGGCTTCCATCTGTGGCATTTCAGGAGCTGGGGGCAAGGGGCACCTGGCAGTGCCTTGGTATTGGGATTCCCATGCTTAGTACTATGAGGGCTCGAATTATCCCAGGATTCTGCTGGCCAGCCTGAAGTTCCCAGGGTGGAAAATGATGCAAACCCATGCAAATCTCAGCTCTGGCTCAAGCTGTTCAGGGTAAAAAATAGAGAAGGTCAAAAGTCCTTCCAGCCTTCTAATCTGGCATTTTGACACAAACATTTCCAGAGGAGAAAAGGGAATAGAAGGGTAGTTGCAGGGGGAAAGGGTTACATATTCTAATGCTGTGTTTGGTTTTGTTTCACTTCCAGGTTTATTTAATATATTTGCTGTATTGCCCCCATGGGGTCATTGGAGTGACAACTTTTCCTCTTTGTCCATCTGCCTCGACGTCTGATTCAGACGGCAATTGGTGCTTCCCTTTCCATCAGTGGACCTTCTCCCACCAAAGCCTCCTTTCTTTCATTTATTAGCATAATTTTAAAGTTTTACACACACACACACAAAAGGACAAAGATGACCTTTATATATATATATATATATGAGAAAAGAACAGAGTACAAATAAAACCATGAACGCCAACAGCCACTTGTGACAAGGACAGGACAATGCCTTCCCTGCTACAGAGGACAGGATGGAAAATGTGAAAAGTGGGTCCAATTTCTTTTAAGGAAAGGAGAAGACCACATGGACAGAGGCCAGAAGGGGAATATTCTCCCTTTTCCTCATGCTTCTGGTAAGGCTGGGGGGCCTGGCTGAGATCTACACTTGCACTGGACCTATATTTTGGAAACAGGCGTGTCTCAGATTGCAAGCAGCGACCAATGATGGAAAATGCACTAAGGACTTTTATCAGCCTACCTGGACAGATATATATTTTTAATGTGCGTGTGTATATTTTATTTTAAAAAAGAAAAACCAAAACCATTAAGATATACAACATCTCTGGGAACAGAACAAACAAGCGAAGAAACAAAACAAAAACAAAACAAAGAAGCCAAATGCATTCCCCCCCTCCCTTCCCCCTCCTGCTCCTGGTGCTGACTGGAAGGTGTTTGGATGGTGGGGAAGGAGCACACGGTGGCAGAATCGTCTCCACGCCCCTGGCCCCTGCCAAGAGGAGCCATCTTTGCACATGCTTGTGGAGAATTCAACTTTCCAGGCTCGGACTCAAATTATTTTTTAAATTTGCTCTGTATGTGTGCGCGTGTATATGTGTGTGTGTGTGTGTGTGTGTGTATATATATATGTGTGCGTGCGTGTGTGTATGTGTATTTATACATGCATATATAAATATATATATATATATAAATATGTTCTTAAATGGGTTTCATTCCCCAGTGGCAGGAAGCTCAGAGGCACGTGCATGCATTGGCTTCACTAGTCTGGCAGAAAAGCACACTGTTACTGCAACGTGCCTGCGAGGCCCAGGATGGGGCAAGCAGAGGCATCATCTGATTTCTCTCTCTCTTGTTGCCCTTTTCTCTCGCTCTGCAGCATCCCCCTAGCACAACTTCCTTGCAGGAGATGAAGTGGCACCACAACAAGACCAAGGACAGCCAAACTTAGAAGCATGACTTAATCTCAGTGAGCTGTCCTTGCCTGCTCTGTGGTCCTGAAAGCAGAATCATGTTATTCCCATGAGGTTTTTAACCCCTTCTTGGGTGTCCTGCATGCCATGCTTCCCCTTATCTCTCCCTGCCAGTGTCTCTACATCTCCCATCATTTTTCTCTCATTTTTCTTCTCAAATTCCTTCTTTGTCTCTTTGCCCATTAGATGATCCCAATCCACGTAGTTTGGAAGTTGATCCATGATGTGGGCAGCTCAATGTAGATATAGAGAAAGAAATGAGGGCGGTCTTTGCAGTTGGCAGCAGCCGTCTGAGACAGAAATGAGCTCTTCTAAGTGAGGAGGACTTGGAGAACAACTGGAGAGTCAGTTGTAGAGTCCCTCCTGGGCCAGTGCCTATCTCTGAGGAGGAAGGAAGACTGTGTGGGCAAGGGCTGTTTCTGCACAGCTAATACTCAGTCACCATTAGCAGAAATGTTACATATGATGGAAATTCCCAGCTTCAGCTCGGAGTCGTGGTCTCCAGTGCCATGCTGGGTGCTGCAGTTACTCATGCAGAAAACACCTGCCAAGAGTGATTGCAGCAGTCCCCCTGTCCCTGCCTCCAGCCACTTCTCCCCTCACCCCCCCCTACTGCAGGGCAAAGCCCTGGAGGGAGGCTGGGGAAGAAGCCAAAGCCACAACCTGGGAGCTGTTACAAGTTGTGGAGGAACCCAGTCCTCACCTCCTGCAAGCCCAGACCACTTCTTGTACCACTGCCAAGGTGGCACATTTCTCCCTCCCTCTATCCCCAAGCCCTCAAGTCTTAAGATACTTTGTTTTGCTGTTCCAAAGTAATTTCTTTTGGTTTGTAAAGATGTTTTATTTTAATTTTTTTGCCTTTTTTAATGTAAGATTAATTTATACTCAGTACTGTATTTAAAGTTGTAAAAAAAAAAAAAAGAAAAAAAAGAAAAAAGGAAACCACCTCTCAAACAGCATTTTCTCTTCCTTTTGTGAGCTAAATGAAAAGCAGAGGCCAAACCAGCTCACCGCAGGGCACAGCAGGATTCCCAGGGCCTCCAGTTTCCTTTTCAGGACACTTGTTCTGAGATTGCAGACAGAAGCAGCCAAAGCTGGGAAAGTCCTGAGAGCCCGGCCCATGGCTGGCTGTGCTGTGCTCCTCCTTCCTCACTTGGGGTGGTTTGAAATGGCTCAGGTGCTGGGGATTTTGTCTCAAAGAGGTCCCCTTCTCCTTAGCGGCTCTGCTTGGACACTCAGCCAGAATTTCCCTGTGCTTTCATCCTATCTCCGGATTCCTCTGCTTTGAAGGGCTCGGGACAGTCAGCACTGTTTACACTCCCCAAAGCTGTACAAACAGTCAGCCCCTTCCCTCCTTAGTCACCTCGTCTAGACAACAGCGATCCTTCCCTTGGTCGGAAAGGCCGCTTTGTTTCCCTTTCCTCCCAGCAAGGGAGGTATCGCATATCTGGCACTTGGATGCGAGGCTGTGAGGAGTGAAGGCAGCTGCCGCCCTGTGCCTTAATATCGGGGTCCCTCAGCACATGCACAGCACCCGTAGTCCATGGCTCAGCTATGAGGAATGTAGACCCAAGTGGGGACTTGTGCTGAAAAAGGTGAACTAGGGGACCTCAGTGTGTAGGAGTGCTCCAGGCTGTCCTTAAAGGGCAAGCCTGACACTCCCAGGTGTGCAACCTGCTGGACATGGTCCATTTTGGGGTGATGAGATGTTTTCCCTGATCCTCCAAAGGGAATTGGAGTGGGGGTGAGCTCTATCTGCCCCAAGGATGGAAAGCACAGGCAAAATCACAATGAGGATAGTAATCACATTCCCAGTCTGATTTCCTTAGGATAATCTGGTGAAAAGAGAGATTTTTGGCATGAGACTTCTTTGGGCTTGAGGATCTGTCAGCAGGGAACTTGGGAAACAAAGGGTGCATAGAAGGGTACAAAGCACAGAAAGCATGGGTCCATCATCCTGTACCAGGAGTGGGAGGAAGGAATTGGCATCCCCAGGGTCCAGCACACCAATGCCATCTGCAAACTCACATCTCTGCTTTTAACACCTCGAAAGTAATCAGTGCTGAAAGATGCCATGGGCCTGGGTGCCTGGAGCCAACACCTCCATGGTGCCTGGCACCACACGAGCAGCTGCTCCCTCAGGTGCAAGGTTGGATGCCGTTTGCTTTCCGCACAGGTCAGCACGGGGCATGGGAAGGAGGGCACCTGTGCCACTTCTCAAGGCTGGAGCCGGAGGTTTGCATCCACCCTACGAAGCCAAGCTCAGGAAATAAATCCTGGGGGGGCTGCAGTACACTGCCAGAAAGCATCTAGGTGTGGGGATGCCAGCTTGGTGCACTCAGTGCTACAGGTGATCTCAGAGGAGCCAGGGAGTCTTGGCAGCTCTCCTTGATTTAATTGCTCAACTGCTACTTCACCTAAAGGCCCATTCTCGGGATATGTCATTCAACAGGAGGTTCATCTTTTGATGGAGGAAATGCATCCAGACTTACAGGCAGTGGAGAGAGGCTTCAGCAATAGATGCTCCTGTGATAGCATGGCTCCCGAAAGCAGCAGTCAGGGGAGAGCAAGGCTATTCAGGTGCAAAAGCAAATCCCTTTGAGTTTTAAAGCCAGACTTTGGGGTTTTTACCATCAACAGTTTGCAACACTAAAGCTGTTGCATGGCTAAATCCAGTGAAAAATCAGTTTGCAAGAGTTTCCTCATCAGGCCTGGGAAAACCCTTGACTGCTTGTTTTGTCAGTGTCTAGGAATACGAACTGCTTAATCTCACCCCCAAGGAAGAGCCTTCTCCAGCCCAGCCATGTGAAATGAAGCCCACACAGGCATTCTCCTCCCTGTGCTCAGCTCGTGCCTCCCTTGCGTAAGCTGTGCCCCCTCCGCAATGGCCACCCTGTCCTGCTGCCCGACCTGCCCACACTCCAGACATGGCTGGAAGGGGCTTGGTGGAAACCACTGACATCCCTCTTTATCCCAGGGTGGAATAAGGATGTGTTGGAGGGTGGCCCCATCTCACTGTCCATGCACCAGGATCTGGTGGGCCCTGGGGGTGGAGAAGCCAGCTGTGCCAAGGGAAAAGCACGTACAAAGAAGGAGGAAAATACGAATCATTAAAAGCTATTTAGGAAAAAAAAAAACCACAACAAAAACCCGTTTCCAGAGCATGCAGCTGTTCCCCACTCGCCTTCACACAGCCCATGACCAAATGGTGCCCCTCCCTAAACTGTGATCTGCCCCTGACCAAGTGAACTTGTTGCAGGCTTGGGAATTTCCCATCTTAAAAGACATTGTGAGGAAGCCAGGCAGCTTCAGCTGTTTGTGGATTTCTTCACAAGGTTAAAGGAACAATAGAGCCTCCCAAACATTGAGTGCTAAGAGTGTGTGAACTGAAGGGAACCCCAAATACTGTAGTGTGCCTGCAGGTAGTGTAGACACTGGATTAATTAACAGTCACAGCAGTGGATCCGTGGGGCTCTTGGCAGAAGAGCCAGGAGGTCAAAGATACCAAAATATAAAATGGCAGGGCTCACCTACCATTTTCCTACCCCAGCCAGGCACAGACCAAATGAGATTCTCTGGCATGATGGACTGCCTTGGATTCACAGCAAGGGCTGGAGTAAAGGCAGCCCCAAGGGAAGTAATCTCGCCTTTTTTATTACTTTTTTATTACTATCTCAATAAAGCTGTTTGCAGGGAATTAAGCAGCAACCCAAACACAGCAGGGACCTGGGCAACGGGGAGGTTTGTGGTTTGACAGTCGAAGAGCATTTCGAAATGTTTGCTGTGAATTTTTTTTGCACATGCTGCAAAAATTCAATGGATGCTGCAGAAATGCCAAGCAAGAAGCTCGGCCATAGGTCTTGCCCCAGCAGCTTTGGAAACTCCCAAGTTCCCAAATGCCCCAACCTTTGG